CTCAGATCTTTAGGTCAAACAAATCTGGAGCATTCTAGTAATGGTTTAGATCAGGGGTCGGCAACCTTTCAGAAGTGGTGTGCCGAGTTGTCATTTATTCACTCTAATTTAAGGTTTTGCGTGCCAGTAATACATTTTAACGTTTTTAGAAAGTCTCTTTCTATAAGTCTATAATATATAACTAAACTATTGTTGTATGTAAAGTAAATAAGGTTTTAAAAATGTTTAAGAAGCTTCATTTAAAATTAAATTAAAATGCAGAGCCCCCCGCACCAGTGGCCAGGACCCGGGCAGTGTGAGTGCCACTGAAAATCAGCTCGCGTGCCACCTTTGGCATGCATGCCATAGGTTGCCTTCTCCGGTTTAGATGCTGTGATTTTTGGAAACAATAAGGACATGTTAGGCAGATAGGCCCCACACTGGCAATGAGAGGGTTAATGAAAGCCTGTGGATCCAATTTATCCCTTCTTTCTATACCTGCAGCAGATGTCAGACATGGATAGAGAGCTAAAAGGAGAAGATCTAGCCCAGTCCAAGACTGCCTAGGAAAAACAGCAGAGTGCTGCTTCTCCTGATGTGAGAGAAGTCTGACTGAAGCCCAGAGATAAGCTAGCTTGCTGGTTGGATGGTCCTCCTGCTCTAAGGGGTGACCCAACTGTAGGTAACTGGCTGACATATGGACTGTTGAAGAGAAGACCTGAATAAAATGGTTGGGTCCTATAGAAGTTCATTGGACAATCCTGTTTTTTTTGTTTCTAATTTCATTTGGATTGTAATACTCCAGAAGGGGTAGAACTTGGCCAGAGGGCTAAAGCACCACTACCACTCAAGAGGCAGCAAACTACCAGTGGCAAGCCAAGGCTGGGCAAGTTGTGATGTGATGGGCCACGAGAGGGCACTGTAGAGGTCACAAGAAAAAACAAAATGAAAATAAATCTAAGAATTGGTCTTCTTCACAAAGCGGAATCTGGTTTAATAAAAATCTTTCTAGCTGATTATAGACTTTCTTCTTGGAATCCATGTCGGTATCCATAAAAAGCCACATACATGATGATGAAGCTGCTGATTCCAAGAACCATTCCTGAAACACATGAAACTCTTAATTGCACATGATTTTTGTTTTTAGGACAAAGGAAGGCTTTTATCTGAAGGTTCAAGGATAAGAGGTTGCCATTGTATATCTTTCAGAACTCATCATGAGCAAGGTGTCTTGTGCAGTGAACCTCTTCTAGTCCTTTTAAACTCCACAACGAAATAAACAGTTTGTCACAAACTATTACTGAAGCTGCAGTCTGATTGTTAGGCTCCAACCTGGGTTTTGGGTTAGAGCCAGGGATCATTTCTCCTGTCTCAGCTTCACTCAGCACTCTCTCTCAGAAGAAGCAGACAAGCCTTCTTATCTTATCTTACCTTAGTGGGGTCTGATTGGCCACTGCCTCTTCCCAGCCCCTATATCCACTGGAGGATCATAGATTGCAAGGCCAGAGTGGACCACTGTGATAATCTAGTCTGACCTCCTATATAACACAGGCTATAGAACTTCCCCAGAATAATTACTTTTTGGACTGAATATATCTTTTAAAAAAATCCAATCTTGATGTTAAAAATTGCCAGTCCATCACAAGCCCGAGTAAATTATTCCAATGGTTAATTACCCTCACTGTTAAAAATATACATGTTATTTCCATTCTGAATTTGGCTAGCTTCAATTTCCAGCCATTGGATTTTGTTATACTTTTTGCCTTCTAGACTGAGGAGTCCATTATCAAATATTTGTTCCCCTTGTAGGTACTTACAGAGTGTGATCAAGTCACCCCTCAACCTTCCTTTTGTTAAGCTAAATAGATAGACTTAAGAAACTCAATCATTATAAGGCATGTTTTTCACTTCTTTAATCATTCTCATGGCTCTTCTATGAACCCATTCCGCTTTATAAGCATCCTTGATTTGTGGACACCAGAACTGGACACAGTATTCCAGCAGTGGTCACACTATTGCCAAATAGAGAGGTAATATAACCTTTCTCCTCTTAATCAAGTTTCCCGTGTTTATGCATGCAAGGATTACTTTAGCCCTAGTCTTGTTGGTTCTGACAGTACGAGGCTTCTCTGGATAGTGCTTGGACATCTAAATTCACTATCTGTCTTTCCTAGGCGATGCTTTTCCTTGGGTGGGTTTGTCAGTGTAGCAATGCCTCCGATGGGAGGCAGAGAAGGCCTGGTACATCCTGTCACAATATCCCATTGCTTCAGTTTGAAATTATAACAGGATGTTGAAAATGTCATAGGTATTTTACATAAGCCAGACTGCTGCAATATTTTTATCTTGTTCACTTTTCTTTTAACATTATCAGTTTGTTTCCAATATATACAAAAACTACAAAGAAATGGAAGGAATCACTGAATATTAATCACATAGAAGTATACACAAACGAATAGGGGAAATGTTATAGTACAGCTTTGATTTTCCAAAACTGACTTTTTTCTGAAACAGGGTCCCTTCATCTCTATTTGTTTGCATTTAAAATATTCGTGATTATGTGCAACCTAATTGTCCAAACTTCCCCAGAGTCTTCCAAAGCATTTGGATAATAGAGGTTGTACTGCAGTCACACACACAAAAACAACCTCTTTGTCTGTTCAGTTATGGATGGGAGATGAAATAAAACAATGGTTAACATTTCTAGAGTTTAATATATATTGAGAGCTTTGAATTATGATTTTAGAAAGTATTAGAGGCAGGCCAGCCCCCACGGCTTCCCTTCAGCAGCAAATACCACAGGAGTGTCTTCACCTCTGCTGGTGTGTCAAAACCCTTCCATCACCCAAAGGGAGCCATTTGCTTCAGTCATTTCAGTCTTCTTAAGATATTGCCACATTGTGTTTTACCTCTAGTGTGACCCAAGATCTCTGCCTACACACCCAATGCTTTTACACAGGGCCAATACCTTTTGTGTAGCTTAGTTAACTAAGGAATGATAACATTTCCTTGCACTCTTTGTCTTGTTTATTGAAATTGTGAGCTCTTTGTGGAAGAATGTCTTGTAATGTGTGTATGTACTGCACCTACCACTGACAGTATGTCTACACAGGGATAAAAGCACCATGGCTGGTCCAGGTCAGCTGACTCGGGCTTGTGGGGCTCGGGCTGCAGGGCTAAAAATTGCAGTGTAGACGTTAGGCACAGGCCTGAGCCCATGCTCTGGGATCCTTAACTCTCACGGGGTCCCAGATCTCGGGCTCCAACCTGAGCCCAAATGTCTACACAGCTATTTGTCAGCCCTGGAGCCCGAGCCTGAGTCAGCTGGCATGGGCCAACCACAGGTTTTTAATTGCAGTGTAGACATACTCAAAGAGGCCCCAGTCTCCTTTGGGGCCTCCTGGCCCTCATGTAATACAAATGATTGATGATGATATCACAAATTGTTTTTTATGAAAGACAAAATATTTAGGGCCAGATCCTCAGTCCAAGTTAAGTTTCCTTTGCACCACTGGAATGACGTAAAGGTGACTTACAGCTGCCATAAAGGAGCAACTGGTGATTCCCTTGACAAAAGGGGGAATTTCTGGTGCTGTAAAGCCTGCATAGTCAGCTTTATGCCATATGCTTTCCCTTCCATGTAGGGGGAGTTTTGAGTCGGGTTGAGGACATGAGGGCTAGGAGATTTGTCACCCACATAAGTTAGAGCAATCGACAATAGGGGCTGCCTTCAGGATTGGGGGAGATGAAACAGCTGAGGATCAAGCCCTTAGGTTTTCCTATGAACAGTAGTATCTTAATTATATATTATCCCAGGACTGCAGGTTTGTCATCGTAAGGAAAAATGTCATGGACATGATAATTTTCCTGTTTGTCGGTGACTTTTGTGTCTGTATGAGTTTAAAAACTCATCCTGCAGCTGAGGCTTCTGTCCTGTGGGACTGAGCCTGGCATTGCAACCTCGTGCACAGATTCACAGCGCTGCTCAGGTTTGGCTCAGCCACCCTTCTATCATGACAGGCTGGTGGCCAGGCCAAATTTCAGCGAGTGGCATTGTAACCTGGTGTGTGGGATAGCGTGCTGCTTGAGTTTGGCCTGAGCCAAACCTGGGCAGCACTGTGACCTTGTGTGCCAGGTTGCAACTCCCAGAATAGCGGCAGAAGCTGCTGCTGTGGGAGTGAGAGCAAGGCAAGCTGGGAGACAGGAGCCAGGCCCAGCCCCTCAGGACATGAGTCACTGCTGCAGGGTGAGAGTGGGTTGGGTTTGCTCTCCAGCTCCCTTCTCCCCTCCAAGGCCTCTCCTCCTCACTAGGCTATTACTTATGGTTGCAGTGCCGGGAAGAGGAGGAATGAGGAGGAGGCAGCAGCGGAGAAGGATGCTGGCCTATGAGGAATAGTTGAATTTCATTTGTCACAGCATTTTTTTATCATAAATCATGGAAAGGTCACCGTAAATCTTGTAACTCATGACTTCTACTAAATTTACCATGACTGCTTTGTGATTTTTGATAAAAATGCTGTGACAAATCTCCAGCCCTAATTACGTTGTCCTTTAAAACAATTGTAATGATTGCTATAGTTGACAGTCCTATCCAATATCTTTTTAAAAGTATACCTTTTTGTTATTTTTCAGTATTTCAGCTTATTTCACATTTTGTGAAAATTATTTATCACACTAGTTTTTTTTGATGATTTCGTCTTTTTTCCTGCTTCGATAGAATTGGATTTTCCGAGAAACAATATGGAATGTTCAGTTTCTTTCTTGTTGTAAATTTGCATTCTACTGGATTTAGAGTTAGTACTAAGTAATGTGTACATAGCCTGTCCATGTGTCTAGGTCGGTGAAAGAATCAAAGATCCAACAGCTTTATACCATGAGTTTACCACTGTGTTCAGGCTTTTATTTAATTCATATAAGTATGAGGTTTGTAAGTGATTAAGACTGGATCTGCAGTTTTTTATTGCATTAAATAGGATTTAGTCTTGAAACATCGTTAGTGAGACAGTTTTGTTTTTGTGAAGTTTTTAGATGCTTGCACAATAAGAATGAATCTTACTTCACCAGCAAAGCATCTGTACAACATTCATGGAGCAAAAATTGAAGATCTCATCAGTGGTAAGTAGAAATGTATGCAAAACACATAAGTGTGTGGAGTTTTATTTACCAATGCAAAGAATTCAGAGAGAAATAGCGGTGGATGGAATTAACCAACATTTTTATCTCTAATATAGACAAGTGCATGGAATTGCACCACAAATTGAAAATACTCTAGAAAATAAATACATTGACACAACCATTGCCATGATCTTCATGATCTTTAGTATTTTGTTTTCAGAATTTATTTGCTGTTGTATCCAATTTATTTTACCCTTCCGTTATTGACAGAGAATGATTCTGTCTGCTAATGCCTTTGCTCCTTTTTTGTTTTTTTGGTATTGTAAATTCCTAGGCCAGGAACTGTTCTAAACTATATATTTGTAAAGTGTTACTAATACCTACAGCACTGTGTGCTGAAGTGCAGTTTTACAATCTAGCCAGAGCCATAAACTGGTTCCTGCTTTCCTCCAGCTCCTGGAAGAAGTAAGTCATATGCACCAGTCGTCTATGATACAGTACTGTCAGCATTGCCTCAAATACTTAAAAATCATGAATTAGATCCCCAAAAACTTGAGATTGGCTTAAAAATAATGAGATTTTTAAAAATAAATTTGGATTTTTTTATTTGCCTTCTAATTTCTGGGTCTTTAGGATTTATATTCTCAAATTTTTCTCTGCAACCAGAAAGGCTGTAACTTTTTTTTTTGTAAGAAAGCTGAGAGTCTTATGTAATCACATGACTCCAGCAGCTGGACTTTAAGAAAAACTCCAAATATTGCTTGCAACAAATTTATTGCCTGCAGTAAATTGTCTGCAATTGCTCACAATAAAATCACAAGAGCTGGTAACACTGGACGGGCTCTAATGCTCAGACTGGTGTGTAGGTGGCGGTCAATGTTAGCCCAACAGTTTCCCCTGTTTCTTTATGCCCCCTAATTCCTTTGCATGGGCACTCAGGAGGGTTCAAGACTGAGCCCTATATAAATAATATATCAATTATAAACAAAACACAGTAAGAGAATGTGAAAGTTACAGTTTTTAAAAGTGATGCTTGAAAAGGTGATTATTTATAAGCCAGAAAGAGCTCAATTTGTCTTCATATTCCAAGCTGGGATTGCAGGACTAGCAGTTAGGAAAACCATATTTTTAATAGTAAACTAAGTACGTTTGATATGGAAGTGAGAAATAATAAATATATAACTGATGAGAATATTTACAGAGCCACTTTTATAGATTAGAACCTCAATGATTCTCACGTGTTATTAGCTGTTAATTTGACAGCATTAAAATGGAGTGATAGGAAATCGTTTCTTCTGTGTACCCTTAGGGGTTCCTGGCATCGGCCAGGCAGTCTATACCTCATGCAGTCTAACTACACAACTCCTGCTCTAATTACAAAGTTGTTTGTCCCATGAATTAATCTGAACTGCTCAGGTCCACTCTCTAAATGGTTCAGGAAAATTCAGAGTGTATAATATCGTTTTAAAAAAAGAAGCTGGAATAACATAGGTAAAATCAAGTTAGGATTGCCTGATCTATGGCTGTTCATGCAAACTTAATTCTGCCCCCTTATACATATACATTATGATGCAGTCTTTAATGACATGATCACATACTGTTTTGTCCACAGGATCCCTGCCTCATTTAGGGGTGCACGGTATGGACACACAAATGCTTGAGTTTGCAACCTAAATAATATTATTTTAAAATAAACTTTTTGTATTTTTTTTAAAGAAAAAAAGTAAAAATTAGTTCTATTATGAGAAGCTCTAACAACCCCCCATTATGCATCATCATCATAGTTTGAACCCTGAACCGTCAGCATTTTGGCACTGACTGCTTCTAGTTGAGATCAGGTCTAACTACATTAGCTGGCAGTAGCAAAAGGCTATTATCCCGGAATGGACATGAACTGCTGGGTATGGGAGGTGGCTGGTGCAGGAGGAGCCTGACTTATTTCTGCCCTCAGGAGATACAGAGAAGGGGTTCCTGCCCCATTGTGGTGCTGCCAGAGGATGGCATTCGATCCTGGGGATATGTTATTTTTCCAGGACAAAGGAGCCCATCCACATTCTTTTTCTTCCAGCACTCCTCCGCTACAGCTACTCCTCAAATTCCAGGTTTCCAGAACAACTTGTAGTGCTGCTGCAACTTTTGCAGCGGCATCAACCCAACCTCAGAATATTCATGTTAAATTATTATTTTGCCATGCTGCCAAAATTTTCCTGAGGAACGCAAGCAAGAGAAGAGAAGTGGTGGTGATTTGAACAATTTATATCAGACTAGATGATGATAATAGCCCTCTCTGTCCTTAAAAATTATGAATCTCAGAAATGGAATTTCATGGGACAAAGAAAAGCCCAAGGGCATTGCCCTTACCTGACTATCAAAGGTTTGCTGCAAACAATACGGTGTTGAAGCTTCTCAAAGAAAAAGTTACAAGAATGTTTTATAGCGGAAAGTGTTAGGCAACCTAAATATATAGGGTTCACTACCAGCTTCCCTTTAATAACTATTATTTGACAAATAATATGTGAACATGTAATTAAATAGTCTTTTGCAATGCATACATATAAGGAGCATAAGCTAAGATTGCATGTGCAAGCTGAACTCTGGCATTTTCTGACTTTTGAGTGAATTAACCTCTCAACCTTAATGTTCTGTTAACATACATTTTTTAAATTTTATCTAACGAGTTTCCTTTTGAACATATCATCCTGGCTTCTGACAAATATGATGACTTCATAGACAAATAATGGAAGTTATTAAAAGATTTCTAATTCTGCATCTAATTATAATACAGCATTGATTTATAGTTATATTTAAAAGTCCATTTCCAAGCCCCTTTTTGTTCTGCCTTCCAAAGAAAATTCTGGTCTAACAAGTCATTTCATGTGGGGAAAAGGAATGGTTAAAATATTTTAAAGTTTGGATACTTTACTTGGCCAGAGAAGATGGCTTGGTGGTCTGGTGAAAAGTGTTTTGACACTTTAGTTCCTTGGTATTTTCCTGTAAAACTGGAACCTGTCCTTGCTTCAGTGTTTTTATTGGCCCCATACCAAAGCCTATTGAGGTCAATGGGAGTATTTCTGTTGACGTCTTTGGGCTTTGAACTCTTATTCATTTCCCTGGATTATGAGATAGTGGCTGCCAAGGACAACACAAAAGCATGCCTGTGCCATGGGACAGCAACATATTGAAAACTCTAGAGTTATATATGCAATATTATTATTTACATTTTATTATATTTCAAAATAATATCATTAAAAGAACACAGAAAAATCCTAAAATACATTTTGTATCAAATGAATAATATTGTCCCATTTACGTATTTGCAATTTCATTGCATTATCAGCCCTTCTTGAACAACAGCACAGCAAAAGTTGTTGTATGCAGTATAGTATGTTTGTGATGTGTGATTATATATCTGTAATACAATTCCAAAATAGATGTAAAGTACAGTAGACCTTATAGAAACTTAGTCCACAATATCCATAGGATCTTTCATTTTTCTTATTACTTTGTTTAGTATTCATCTAAAATAATTACATTAAAAATTTTGAGCAGCCTAAAATCTGTAGAAACGTTTATGTTCTTGGCTTTTTCAGCCCAAACAGTGTTGATTTCTATGGGACACTAATGGCTGAGGAAGAAGTCTCTTTTTAAGAGACATTGCCAACCTGCAGAGACCCTGGACAGCTTGTTAACTAATGCAGAGCAGCTTTGGATGGTGTGGTAAAGTGGAAATAGGGTTCTGCTGACTGTGCAAATATAAAAAATTTTTTGAACATACAACAACATTTACATTTAAAAATAAGACTGTGGGCTCAATCCTTTGTCCCTGTCAGCTGCATCAAGCAGCTGGAAAACTGACCTGAAGGTGCAGCTGAGGATTGCCCCCAAATTCCCTTTACACAGGGATATTCTTGGGTTGTGCAAAGCCAGTGTAGCCAGCTCCACACATCCCCAAGCCCCCTGCTTTGTGTAGAGGGTATGCCAGGAGCAGGGAGGGGAAGAATGGGCCAGAGCTCACACTGTTCTGGCAGATTCTTGGCTGGCGCAGCAGACACAAGAGGTGACACAACCCTGGACCTGTCTAAATTCCACCAGGGGCCATTTCAGCCCTTGGCTGGCCCCAGGTTTGGCAGTGCAGGAAAGTGGCTTAGAACCACTTTTTCACTCTCCATCTTCAGCTGCAATGTGTGTAAACTTGGCACAGTTGGGGATGGAGGATTACACTGTACTATGTCTAACAACATCACGAGGTTGGCTGCTATTGTACCTGAGTACATTTCCTGCTATACAGTATGTTTTAAAAAGCTTGATACATATGAAATTAGGCTGCTAATGCAATGAAAGTCTACTGGACTCCATAGCTTTGAAGATTAATCCTGATTTTTTTGTGGGAACTCTGCTTTCTACATTAGCTATGTGTTTGTTGAATTAGTCATTATGTGATGTCTTTTCTCTACAGTGAAATCTTTTGACCATACCATTTTATCTCTTAAGCTGTCATAGGCGATCTGCAAAAAGTTTAGTACTGGAGACTTGTATATTGGTGATGCATTGAAAAAATGACTGGGTCTGATTTTATACTATTCGAAGTAGGTGGAAAATGTGACTAAATCAGGAAGGTAGCATTTTACTCACTTTCAAAATGTCTACAATGACATAGAGAGTTAGGCCTATTTGGTATGACAATAAATTGTCAACAGAATGTGTAGTAATAAAAACATACAGTAAACAGCATCTGTACAAGAGCTTCTAAAGCTTTTTTTTATAACATAGGTACCAGAAATGTTATATACTACATAGTTTTGAAAAATATTGTAATCTGACATCACACTTATAGCTGATACACCAGTCTGACCTCTAAGTGCTAGAATCTGAACTTTTTTTTAGACTACCTCCCTTTTTTTTTTAATTATGTATTTAAGAATGCTGGAATCCACTTATACACATTACCATCAACAGTGCCACCTTCAGGAAAGGAAAATGAGAAAACTTTTATTGGATGA